AAGGAGGGGGAGAGAGGAGGAGGGGGAGAGGAGGAGAGGGAGAGAGGGAGAGAGAGGAGGAGGGATAGAGAGGAGGAGGGGGAGAGAGGACGAGAGGGAGAGAGAGGAAGACAGACGGGCTGAATAGCGATGGCAGAGCAGGGAAGCGAGGTCAGGGTGTGTGTTGCAGGCAAAGCTCACACAACTTGCTGGCGGGTGGAATGTGCAAGAAGGCATCTCGGGGAAGTTCAAGTTTCTGGCGGAAGGGAAAGGGTAGTGAGACGGGGGTGGGCAGGGGGAAGGTCTGAGGGGTTAGAAACCAGGCGAGATGTCGTCATGGCTGTCTCTGGAAACTACACCCAGCCATGACCCTGTTTAGTTTAGAAGCATGTAGGACACATTTAAAAACATACGTTAAAAAGAGAGAGAATGTAAGCTAATAAGTTAACATTGGATTGATTGTCTTTAATGGCAAAACCTGGTCCACTGACGACCACGCATTCGATCTGTACAAAGTAAGACTAGAACCCGGCCTGTGAGCCTCAGCGGGCTGGGCGCTGTCCCTGCACCAGGAAGTCACCAGTCTGACTCCTGGCCAGGGCACGTGCCAGAATTTCAGGCTCCATCCCCAGCTGGGGGCGTGTAAGAGGTAGCAATCAATGTTTCTCTCTCATCAGTGTTTCTCTCTCTCTTCCTCTATCTCTAGAATCGATAGAATAATATTTTAAGCCCTCGCTGGTCTGGCTTAGTGGATAGAGCGTCGGTCGGCCTAGAGACTGAAAAGTCCTGGGTTCGATTCCAGTCGAGGGCACAGACCTGGTTTTCAGGCTCCATCCCCAGTGGGGGGCACGCAGGAGGCAGCCGATCAATGCTTCTCTATCTCTCATCATTGATGTTTCTATCTCCCTCTTCCTCTCCCTTCCTCTCTGAAACCAATGAAAATATATATTTAAAAAAAATAACATATTATAAAAAATAGAAATAAAATAAGACTGGAAATGTGAAAGAGGATTACTTAAATAGTAACTGAGTCAGTGCCTGTTGGCCTAGTAAGTAAGGTGGCACCCTGCTCTGTGGGCACCACGCCCAAGGAAAGGAGTCCCAGGCCTGGCCGGGTAGCTCCGTTGGTTAGGGCGACATCCCAATTCGCCAAGGTTTTGGGTTCAATCCCTTGTCAGGGCACAGACAGGTACCGACCAATGAAGGCACAAATAAGTGGAGCAACAAACCAGTGTTTCTCTCTCTCTCAATCTCTCCCTTCTTCTCTCTCTATAGTCAATTAAAAAATATATATATACTTTACTGGTTTTTACAGAGAGGAAGAGAGAGGGATAGAGGGTTAGAAACATCGATGAGAGAGAATCATGGACCAGCTGCCTCCTGCACACCCCCCACTGGGGATGTGCCCGCAACCAAGGTACATGCCCTTGACCGGAATCGAACCTGGGACCCTTAAGTCCACAGGCCGACGCTCTATCCACTGAGGCAAACCAGTTAGGCTCTGTAGTCAATTAAAACAAATAAACAAACAAACAACAGGTAGAAAGGAAGGAAGAGGCCCCAGGAGAACCTCCCAGAGGGCCGTGCGCCGGTGAGGAGCTGTGAGGTAGTCACTGGGGCACGAACACTGTGGGCGCGTGGACGGGTTCCTCTTGCTGGTCCGCTCTGAAGCCGGGTGTGGCCACCGGGCCTGCTGCAGCCACTGCAGCGTGAGCAGCTCACCTCCCTCCTCCCACCTCTCCCCGCCCCGAGTCGCCATGCTGGGAGCATCTTCCCATCTTCACATCCTCCCGTGGCCGCCACGCGTGCTTTCGGTGAGCCTTCCCCACGGCCCCGCTAAGTGGCTCACGGCCGATGCTTGACTCAGACATCCACACGGCGGAGGCGATCCCACGGTCTCTTTCAGGAAAGGGAAACTGGCAGAGACACCGAGAGTCTCTCTCGGGTCCTTGCAGTGAGGCTTGTCTCTGTTCCACCGCCACTGTCACTTGCCGGGAAGGCTGCCACGGCCTGCTCCTGGGCCTCTTCGCCATCAGCTGCCTTCGCCCCACAGCCTCTTCTCCACAGAGAGGCCGGGTCCGATCATATCCCTTGGGGAGTGGGGGTTTTTGAGCATGCCCCCTTCCAGAGAGGCCGTGGACTAGGCCCCAGATAGAGTTGTCCGTGCTGACACCAGGCCAGGCCTTGAGATAGGGCCTCATGGCCCCTTCCCAGCACGTGGGCCTTCTTTCACAGGACACTATCAGCTTTCTGAAGAACAGGAGGACCCTGTGAATAACATGGTTGTCAATGGCACAACTCTGACGTGGCTTGGGAAAAACTGTTTTGTCTTGGGTTACTTGCTCTGCAAGAACAACACGTGGTTAATGTGCTTAAAAGTGGTCCTGCACAAAGGTCCGGGCTGCTCTCTGGACTCCCTGCGTGGAGAAAGGCAGAGCAGTCGCCGGCCGGCTAATAAAGGCTCCCTAAATTTTAATTTGGTCTGGACTCCAGTGGTCGTTCACTCGTGTTCACTCCACAACAGTCCCTTCCGTGATTAAAACCCTCTGTTATTTCCAGCTGGTCCTAGAAGAAACCCAAAGTCCTCATCAGCATACACAGGTCTCAAAGGGCCTGGCCACGCTCACGTCCCCATCCACATCCGGCTCCATGTGCTCTAGCCACTGGCCTCTTTTCTCTCTCATGTGTAGCTAGACTCCCTGCTGCCACAGATCACGTGCACATGGAATCCCCAGTCAGGGGGGGGAAGTTCATGTTGGCCACATTCACGTCAAAGCCATCAGGGATCTGCAAACAGAGACTCGATGGTTCTGTTTGTTCCCATCATCTACGGCGGCCTGTTAGACGGCCTCAACACTTACTGGCGGAACACCGCCATATGATGTTCCCAGAATCTGGGAGTCAGGGGGTTAGATATGGCTTATCCCTGTAACACAAGGTCAGGAGCCTGACTGGGTCCCTAAAAGCGATAAGCTGATTGGAACAACGGTGGAAGCATCGACAGGCGCCTTCATGAACATATCTTATGCCTGCGGGGCGTTGACTTGAAGTTGGGCTCAGCTGATACGGTGAACCAGAACACCTGCCTGCAGCCTCCCAGGGACACTGGGCTTCCTCACAGTGTGGCGGCTTCCGGCAGTTGGATTTCTTACATGATGAGGATGATGAGGATGATGAGGGCCCCACCAGTGAACGTTCTAGCAAACACGCGGAAAGCTGTGTGGTGAGGAAGACCACGCTTTCCTGCAGGACTGGCCACACCGAGCTCAAGAGGCTCCGACCAAACTCCACCTACATGCAGCTGCGCGGGAGAGACCCGGGGCTGGCCCACAGGATTGTGGGGAATAAAACATGGCCGTCGTCATCGAAGGCCACTATGCTTTGCTATCGCACCCCGGAGAGTGGGGACCCTGTCTGCTAGGCTCACCACCACAAACGTGTACTGAGAGAACATGGACTCCCCAGGTCACGAAGCCACGCTGGTCTCGGAGTTCTCAACAGTCATCACCCTGGGCGTGAGGCTCCCTGGTCTTGGCTGCACATCAGCTGCCAGCCAGGATGTCACTCTTGTGAGAACTGGAAGACAGGTTCTCCCTCAGGGCAGACTAACTAGAAAGAAAAAAAAAAGAGCCTCCTGGGTAGGCGTGGTCCCGAGGACGCCCGGCTTGGAGAGCTGATGGCGGCTCTCTTGCCTTCTTGGCCGATGCCCTTGTGCAGTGAGCAGTGGGCACAATGGTCGAGGGCTTCCCGGCTTTGTTCTCGGCAGCCCGTTCCTCCCTCTTCCTTGGAGAGAGCACGCCATGTCTTCCTGCCGGCAGCCACGTCCTTCGGGAGGCAGACCAAAATCCTCGGCTGCGGCCGCCACGTCTCAGGGAGGTGAGGTTAAGCCGATCGCAGGAGTTCCGCACCCGTGGTCACGGGACACCCTCTGGTCAGTGAGCCAGGAGGGTTTGTCGTGTTGAGGGGCACCGAGCTGCCGGAGGAGGCTTCGGCAGGTCCTCCTCCCTCTTCCGAAGGGACCCAACGGGAACGAGCCTGCTCTCGCGGCCTCAGGAAGAGGGTGTCTGCAGGCGGCCGTCCTGGGCGTGTGGCAGTCCTCTTGGGACCATGAGGGAGTCGGCCTGAGAGAAGATGAAGGCAGCTCGCTGCGATGGCTGGAACTGGGCCCTGGCTGGGTGGCTTAGGTGGTTAGAGCATTGTCCTCAATACACCAAGGTTGCGGGTTTGATCCCCAGTCTGGAGCACGGACAGGAAGCGACCAATGGGGGCCCCGGCCGGTGTGGCTCAGTTGGTTGGGTGTCATCCTGTGCACCAAAAAGGTTGCTGGTGTGATTCTGGATCAGGGCACAAGCCTGGACTGTGAGCTTGATCCCTGGTAAGGAGATGTGCAGGAGGCAGCTGATCAATGCTGCTCTCTCACATCAATGTTTCTCTCTCTCCCCCTCTCCCAAAAGCAATAAAAAAAATTTTTTTTTTTAAAGAAGCAACCACCCTAGCCTGTGGTGGTTGATGCTCAGTGACTAGAGCATTGGCCTGTGGACTGAAGGGTCCCGGGTTTGATTCCCGCCAAGGGCACATGCCCAGGTTAGCGGCTGGATCCCCAGTGGGGGGCGTACAGGAGGCAGCTAATCAAATGATTCTCTCTCATCATTGATGCTTCTCCCCTCTCTTTCTTCCTCTCCCTTCCTCTCTGAAATCAATAAAAATATATTTTAAAAATAAAATAAAATAAAAAATAAAAACAACTTGCTGTTTCTCTCTCCCTTCCAATAATAGATGAAGGGGTAGAAGGGCACTGGTGACATTGGTGAGTGGCTGAGTCAGCTGGCCCGGGGCCTGTGCCACCTCTGGCCACGTGACGAGGTTAAACCAGTTTGCTGTGACGCCCCCTGGCGGCGGCCGGAAGTCCTCTGCTGCAAGAGGGAGGGGTCCTGGCCCAGGTCACGAGGCGCTCGCCCCCCAGGCCCGGATCGGATTGGGGGGGGAGCCGGGGGGGGGGGGGTGGCCGGGGCGGGCCAGGCTCAGGGCTTGAGCAGCGGGGACAGGTCGGCGGCGATCCCAAACCACTCGGGCAGGAAGGCGGCCTCGGGCCGGAAGACCTTGAGGAAGGGCGAGTCCGGGAGCGTGTAGTTGGCCAGGTAGACGGTCTCCCCGCCCGCCAGGTAGGCCGCCCAGATGCCGAACGTGCCGATGGTCATGACGGTGTGGTTGCACTGCGTGAGCAGCGCGAAGTCCTTGGCCGGCGAGCCCTCCACGCCATCGCCCGCGAACACCACGTCGCCCCGGGACGCGTCGATGTTCTCGCGGCACCAGGCCATGCCGTTGCTGGTGACCACGAACACCGGGGCTTCGTGCCGGGCCCGGAAGCGGTCCAGCGCCGCCTGCAGGTAGGCGCGGTCGGCCACCACGCCCTTCCACACTTCCGGCATGACGTGCACGTAGTCCCCGCGGCGCACGTGCACGCCCACGTACGTGGCGGGGCGGCGCCCGCGCCCGCGCAGACCGCGCAGGTACGCCTGCGCCCCCTCGCGCACGTGGTCGTGCAGCGTGAACTCGCGCAGGATGTCGGGGCGCAGGTGGTGGTAGAAGGTCCAGGAGCAGGGGTAGCCCGTGAGGCGCACGTACTCGCCGGGGATGTGGCGGTACCGCTCCTCCATCCAGTCGTGGAGCGGGTAGTTGTGCCACGGGAGCCCGCGGGCCGCGGCCGGCAGCACCGGGAGGGAGATGCGGAAGAGCGGCGCCAGCGTGCTGTGCATCTCGGCGGGGATGAAGGCCGGCCGCCCGTTCAGCCTGGCCAGCGCGTACAGCGTGGCGTACTCGCCCATCTGGTTGCCCAGGCGGCCGATGGCGTTGATGGTCCACATGCCCCGGGGCGCAGTGCTCCGGACGCTCGGGGTGCTTGGGGTGCTCAGGGCGCTCGGTGCACTCGGGGTGCTCGGGGCACTCTGGGCGATCGGGGTGCTCAGGACGCTTGGGGTGATCTGGGTGCTCTGGGCGCTCGGTGCACTCGGGGCGCTCGGGGCGCTCGGGGCGCTCGGTGCACTCGGGGCGCTCGGTGCACTCGGGGCACTCGGGGCGCTCGGGGCACTCGGGGCAATCGGGGCACTCGGGGCGCTCGGTGCACTCGTGGCGCCTGGTGCACTCGTGGCGCTCCGGGCGCTAGAGGCACTCGGGGTGCTCGGGGCGATCTGGGTGCTCAGGGCGCCTGGGGTGATCTGGGTGCTCCGGGCGCTCGGTGCACTCGGGGCGCTGGAGGCGTTGTCCTCAGGTTCCACGGGCACCAGCCTCTCCGCGGCCGGCAGGGGTTGGATCCTCACCAGCCGCTGCTGAAGGTGGAAGATGGTGGAGGCCGTGAAGACAAAGAGGACGAAGTGGGCCATGGGGAAGAAGAAGGGCCCCTGGGTGCCGGGCATGGCTGTGGGCAGGAGAACAGGGAAGGTTAGCGGGCTGGGCGCTGGGGCTGCGGGCGCCTGGCGCACGGTGTGTGTGTGTGTGTGTGTGTGTGTGTGTGTGTGTATAGATTTCGGAGAGGAAGGGACAGGGAGAGAGAGACAGAAACATCTATGATGAGGAGAGGTTAGGGGGGCTGTATGTATGCATAGAAGCATAACCAATGGTTACAAGACACTGGGGGCGGGAGGGGGGAAGGTGAAGGCATATGCTGGGGGGTAGGGCAGTCTGGGAGGAGGTTAAGGAGGGGGAAAGGAGACATATGTACTACTATTTGTAATGCTTCCAACAATAAAGTAAAATAGAAGTGAAAAAAAGAGAAACATCTATGATGAGAATCACGATTGGCTGCCTCCTGTGCGCCCCCCACTGGGGATCGCTCCTGCAACCCAGGCATGTGCCCTTGGCCAGAATCGATCCTGAGACCCTTCAGATCCTTCATTTTGAAGAATTTTAATGAGTTTGCCGACCACTGGTATAACTCATTAGTCAACAGAGCCAAATACCAATAGCACAGCGATTGAAATTTCTTCTGAGAGCCTAAACTTCTTAAACTTAAACTTCTTCTAACACCACTTCTTCAACATAGACTTGCCCAGGCCGTGGTATTTTGTGGGAGAGCCACACTCAAGGGGCCAAAGAGCCGCATGTGGCTCGCGAGCCGCGGTTTGCCGACCACGGGACTATGTGAGTGTATAGATGTGAGTGGACATACATTGTGCATCTTTATTGTATGTTTACTTGTGTGTTTATAGCCTGTGGGTATACCCACGGGGGTGTCTGTGTATGCACATACACGCCTATGAACCTCTATTTGCTGGGGATCCTGCTCCTGGAGACGCCTGTCTTTGCAGGCCAGGCCGTCCCCATCCCCTTTGAAGGGCCATCGCCAGGCCCGCCCTCTGGACACAGCAGACCGAGTCTGACAGACATACGCTGCCTCCACCGGCTCCTCCATCAGTGGCCGTGGCCTGTGGCTCTGTGAGATGGCCTGGCCAGCTTTTTAAAATATATTTTTATTGATTTCAGAGAGGAAGGAAGAGGGAGAGAGATCGAAACACCAATGATGAGAGCCATTGATTGGCTGCCTCCTGCATTACCCCACTAGAGATCAAGCCCACAACCTGGGCATGTGCCTTTAACCAGAATTGAACCTGGGACCCTTCAGTCCGCAGGGTGACACTCTATCCCCCGAGCCAAACCAGCTAGGGCTATCTTGGGAATTTTTACTAAAAGGCTCAGAAGGCAGCGGGCCCATGAGAGGATTCTCCCACCCCCCTCCAGATACCAACAGGGTGTCCAACGATTCAGTTCAGTTCGGACCCTATCTACCTAGAGTTCGTATCGGATCCCACAGCTCAGAGAGCCCTGTTCCACCAGACTGTCCACTTCCGACACTGATCAAAAGTCCCGGGCCAGGTTGATAGAGCGTCGGCCTGCAGGCTGATGGTATCAGGTTCAGTTCTGGCCAAGGGCACATACCTCGGCTGCAGGCTTGATCTGTGTGGGAGGCAACCAATTGATGTGTTTCTCACAGCCATGTTTCTGTGTCTCCCTCTCCCTTTTACTCCCCCCCCACAATATATTTTATTGATTTTTTTACAGAGAGGAAGGGAGAGGGATAGAGAATTAGAAACATTGATGAGAGAGAAACATCGTTCAGCTGCCTCCTGCACACCTCCTACTGGGGATGTGCCCGCAACCAAGGTACATGCCTCTGACCGGAATCGAACCCAGGACCTTTCAGTCCGCAGGCCGACGCTCTATCCATTGAGCCAAACCGGTTCCGGCAAGGCTTGGTTTTTCTGTTGACCTGACCCCATCCTAAGTCTAGAGTCCACGTATCAAACAAACAAAAAAGACACTCCTATCGCCCTTATCATGCAGGAAATGCTGATGCTTTTACGAGCTGTGCCAGGAGCCAGGCTCCAAGACCAAACATCTTTCCTTCGCTGAGACCGCGCAGAGCCGCCGGACGGCACAGGCTGAAGCAGAGGGAGCCGGGAATCGTGAGGCACCTGAACAGACGCCCCAAGAATCCTCAGCAGAACAGCAGCTCGGGCCCAGGGGTCGCAGAAAACCCCGGGAGCTGAGTGATGACACTGCCTGTTTGCCGCCCACGGCCCCAGTGGGCCAGCACTCCTGCTCTGGCCACTCGCGGCCGGTGCCAGGCTACCACCCTCACCGGCTGTGATTCTAGGCTCGAGACTTCGCCTCTCTGAGGCGTGAAACGGCCGTAGGTGCCGTAGGTTTTGTGTTTTTAAAAAAATATATTTTGCCGAAACCGGTTGGGCTCAATGGATAGAGCGTCGGCTTGGGGACTGAAGGGACCTGGGTTCGATTCCGGTCAAGGGCATGTACCTTGGTTGCGGGCATATCCCCAGTAGGGGGTGTGCAAGAGGCAGCTGATCGACTCTCTCTCATCGGTGTTTCTAACTATCTCTCTCCCTTCCTCTCTGTACAAAATCAATAAAATATATATAAAAATATATATATTTATTGATTTCAAAGAGGAAGGAAAGAGGGAGAGAGAGAGAGAGAGAGAGAAACATCCACAATAAGAGAGAATCATGGATCGGCTGCCTCCCCCCCCACACCACACACACACACAAGCAAGGTGCACGCCCTTGACTGAATCCAACCTGGGACCTTTGAGTCTGTAGGCCGATGCTCTATCCACTGAGCCACACTGGCCAGGGCGGTGCCGTGGGTGTTATATTACCGCAGACGAAGCAAAGAGCGCGTTCTGTACGGGCTCTGGGCCAAGGATGGGGTGGGGTGGTTCCCGCTTTTCATATCGGCATTTTGATCCCGGTCTATCTGGCCTGCCACCACACGGCAGACAGAACTGGGAGGAGGCTTGGAGGAGCGGATCAGGAGGAGGAACCGTCTCGTTCAGAGGCTGTGACCTCGGGGACCTGCCGGGCAGCCCCGTGTCACCAGAGGCGGCGGCCATGGACAGAGCTGACCTTGGGGTTTGTCCCTCGGGGGTGGGTGAGCACATCTGTGGTCCCACCCGCCATGGTTGACGTCTGATTTTTTAAAATTACATCTTAAAAAATTGATTTTAGAAATGGAGAGAGAGAGAGATAGAAAGATTGATGCCAGAGAGAAACATCCATCAGCTGCCTCCGTACCCACCCGGACCGGGAATCACACCCACGACCCAGGCGTGTGCCCTGACTGGGAACCGAGCAGGTGACCTTTCGGTGCATGGGACACTCTCAACCAATGGAGCCACTGGGCCAGGCTGACTGCCTTTAAAATATATTTATATATGTGATTTTTAAAAATTGATTTCAGAGAGGAAAGGGGAAGGAGAGGTAGAAACATCAATCAGAGACAATCACCAATCGGCTGCCTCCTGCGCGCCCCGCAGTGGGGACTGAACCCACAGCCCGGGCATGTGTCCTTGACCAGAATCAAACCCGGGACCCCCCATATAGTCCGAACGCGCGCCGGGGCCGGCGGAGCGGAGCCCGTGAATGTGCGGCAATAGCATGTCTGCCTCGCTTCCCGCCGCCCGGAAGGCCACCGCTGCGGTGATTTTCCTTCATGGATTGGGAGATACAGGGCACGGATGGGAAGAAGCCTTTGCACGTATCAGAAGATCACATATCAAATATATCTGCCCGCATGCACCAGTTATGCCTGTGACATTAAACATGAACATGGCCATGACTTCTTGGTTTGATATTATTGGGCTTTCACCAGATTCACAGGAGGATGAACCTGGAATTAAACATGCAGCAGAATATGTAAAAACTTTGATAGAACAAGAGGTGAAGAATGGCATTCCTTCAGACAGAACTGTTTTGGGAGGATTTTCTCAGGGAGGAGCTTTATCTTTATACACTGCTCTGACCACACAGCAGAAACTGGCTGGTGTCACTGCCCTCGGTTGCTGGCTTCCACTTCGGTCTTCATTTCCACAGGGTCCTATCAGTGGTGTTAATAGAGATATTCCTATTCTTCAGTGCCATGGAGATGCTGATCCTTTAGTTCCTATAATGTTTGGTTCTCTTACTGCTGAAAAGCTAAAAAAATTGGTAAATCCAGCCAATGTAACCTTTAAAGTCTATGAAGGCATGATGCATAGTTCATGTCCACAGGAAATGTTGGACATCAGGCAATTCATTGATAAAATCCTACCTCCAGTTGATTGACATCATCCAGTAGAAGTACACAACCAGCATCATTGTAGTAGAGAGTAAACCTCTTCCTGTGCCAGATCTTGAAAGTTATGTTTGTAATGTTAAAATCTTTTGCAATTACACACCAATGACACAGTCTAAATAATATCTCCTTGTGGAAAATGTACGATCTTTAAAGTACATGAATTTGTATAACATGATCCAGAATACACTAGCATTAGCATAAGTGAAGCAGCTAGCTTCTTTCTCCCCACATGTAATTCAGCAAAATAATAAAATACTACATCCAGAAAAAAACAAAAACAAAACAAAACAAAAAAACCCGGGACCCCTCAGTCTGCAAGCCAACACTCCATCCACTGAGCCAAACCGGCCAGAGCTACTTTTTAATATTATATATATATATAACTTACATTTTACAGAGATGAAGGGAGAGGGAGAGAGTTAGAAACATCGATGAGAGAGAAACATCCATCAGCTGCCTCCTACACACCCCTGACATGCCCTTGACCAGAATGGAACCTAGGACCCTTGAGTCTGCAGGCTGACACTATCCACTGAACCACATCGGTCAGGGCCTATTTTTTTGTTTGTTTGTTTTGTTAATGGAGCTGAAGATACGGGAGAAAGAGTATGGGTGATGGGCAAACAAGGGGTGGGCTGTATTAATGTAGCACACTTTGCTCACCCACACATAGCCCTTGCTACAGCCTATTATGGGCTGCGTTGGGCTCCTCTAAGAAAGATATATGAGCCCTGGCAGGTTGGCTCAGTGGATAGAGCGTTGGCCCATGGACTGAAGGTTCGATCCTGGTCAAGGGCGTGTACCGGTGGTGCCTGCGGGAGGCACCCATTCCCTGTGTCTCTCTCCCATCCGTGTTTCTCTCTATGTCTTCCTCTCCTTTTCACTCTCTAAGAAGCAAGGGGGACAATATCCTCAGGTGAGGAAAGACAAAGAAGAGAGAGAGAGAGAGAGAGAGAGAGAGAGAGAGAGAGAGAGAGAGAGAAATCCTAACCCTCAGCACTTCCAGCGTGACCTTACCGGGAGCCAGGTCTTTAAGGGGTGACCACGTCAAGTGAGGTCACCCTGAGATGTACTCTGATCCAATAGGAGTGGGACCTTTATTTTTTTAAAAGTTATTTATTTTATTTCTTAAATACATTTTTATTGATTTCAGAGAGGAAGGAAGAGGTAGAGACAGAAACATCCATGGTGACAGAGAATCATGGACCGGCTGCCTCTTGCACGTCCCCCACTGGGGATTGAGCCCACAACCCAGGCATGTGCCCTTGACGGGAATCGAACCTGGGATCTTTCAGTTCCCAGGTCAATGCTCTATCCAGTGAGCCAAACTGGCCAGGGCAGGAGTGGGACCTTTATATGTTAAAGACTCACACAGACCCCAAGGTTGCCCTGGCCGGGTAGCTCAGCTGGTGGGAGCCTCATCCTGTACGCCAAAAGTTTCGGGTTCCATTCCCAGTCAAACACAGGTTGTAGGTTTGACCTCCGGTCAGGGTGCATGTGGGAGGCAACCAATCGATGTTTCTCTCTCTCTCTCCCCCCCCCCCCCCCGCCCCCTCTTCTTCTCTCTCTGAAATCAATAAAAACATGGCCCCGGGTGAGAATTAAAACAGGAAAAACTAAAATGCAGCCCATTCTATATCATATGACATTGGCCTAAGAACGGCCCGTCATTGGCCGGCCCATGCCGTGTGTGTGTGTGAGTGTGTGTGTGTGTGTGTGTGTGTCCTGACTCAAGAGCATAAGCTGCACCCAGCGGACCCGCTGCCTGGGAACTTAGCGGAGAAGCACAGAAGCACGTGCACTGGAGGCCTAGCAGCTGGACGGCCACGCTAAGCCACGTCCAGGATAACCAGGGAAACGCCGGAGAAGAGCAGAGACATCCCGGAGAGGAGCCGGCCCCGAGGATAAACGGAGAGAGCCCAGCCGGCCGGCCAGCTCAGAGGTTCAGTGGTTGAGCGTCAACCTATGAACCAGGAGGTCATGGTTCGATTCCCGGTCAGGGCACAGGCCCGGGTTGCAGCCTCAGACTCCAGTGTGAGGTGCGCAGGAGGCAGCCAAGCAGTGATTTTCTCTCAGCATTGACGTCGCTCGCTTTCTCTCTCTCCCTCTCCCTTCCTCTCTGAAATATATTTACATATATATTTTAAAGAGATTGGCCCTAACTGTTTTTTGGCTCAGTGGACAGAGCGTCAGCCTGCGGACTGAAGGGTCCCAGGTTCGATTCCGGTCAAGGGCATGTACCTTGGTTGTGGGCACATCCCCAGTAGGGGGTGTGCAGGAGGCAGCTGATTGACATTTCTCTCTCATCGATGCTTCTAGCTCTCTATTCCTCTCCCTTCCTCTCTGTTAAACCAATAAAACATATTTTTAAGAGAGAGAGAGAGAGATGGATCACCTGTGCCTGGTGGCCTCCGGGTTCCCTTCTCTCCAGGCTTCCATGAGAACCTGGGTGGGAGGAGAGGCACTGGACCGGGCAGCGGGAGGGGAGAAGGGAGAGATCCTGAGGGTGGCCGCCTGCTGTCTTCCCACCTCCTGCCCGGCCTCGCTCTCCTTTCTCCCACGAGACCAGCCCTTGAAAGGCAAGGAGTGAACGCGGCTGCTTTTGGCTCCTAATCTGCCAGAGACATGGGATCACGGGGCCAAGGAGTGGCTGTGGGAAGGCAGAAGGGGGGAGGGGAGGGGAGGGGAGGGGGGGAAGGGAAGGGAGGGGGGGAAGGAAGGGGAGGGGAGGGGACTCGGAGGGAAAAGAGAGAGATGGAAAAAGAGAAAGAGCAGGGACATGGAGAGACATAAGGAAAGGGAGAAAAAGAGACAGAGCCCAGAAGAGAGAGAAACAAGGAGACACAGACTGAGAGGGAAGGAGGGGGGGTGGGGTGGGGGGGCCGGCTAGAGGGGGTCCATGGGGGAAAAGGGGACATATGAGATACCTTCAACATGAATGTCTAAAAAGGAGGAGGCAGCCCTCACCGGTGCGGCTCAGTGGATAGTACATGGGCCTACAGTCTGCAGGGGCCCGGGTTCGATTTCAGTCAAGGGCACATGCCTGGGTTACGAACTTGATCCCCAGTAGGGGGCGTGCAGGAGGCAGCCGATCAATGATTCGTTCCCATCATTGATGTTTCTTTCTCTCTCTCCCATCCTCTCTGAAATAAATAAATATATATATGGAGCCAGGGAGAGACAGACAGAGGGACAGGAATAGAGAGACAACAGGTTGCCAGACGCAGTGAGCCGGAGAGAAGGAAGGAGGCTGGCTGATGGACTGCCCCCTCCTGTTCCGCCGGCAGCTCCCGCCCCGTCCAGTCCTCGCTTGGGGATCCCCATCGGTCCCTCTCAGCGTCTCCCGGTCTCACGGCTCCGTGAAGAAAGGACGGTGTCCTCTGCTCACCCCCCACCCACCGCCTCGGACCCTGGGCTGGGCACACAGCAGGCGCGCAGGCCGTGTTTTCAGAGGGAAATGGTTACAAACGATACCGGCTCAGCTCAGACACCCGACAGAGACCAGAGTCGGCTTCTGCCAGGAGCGGCGTCCCAGGCGGGTCCATCACAAATCTGCTGCTAGGAACCCGGGGGTCCCCTGCCTGGCAGACCCCTGCCCCCCTCCCTGCCCCCCGAAGGCGACCTTGCCACAACCAACCAGCTTTACCTAGAAAAGCTTTCTCTGCCTGTAAAAGGCTCTCCTTTTGTGTGGCTACTTGAACCTCCTTTCTACCTGCTTGACGGCCGCTGCCGCGTTCGGGAGTCTCGGGCAAAGCCAGTAAGGTCTCTACGTTCACTCACTCAGCCGGGCCCGCCAGCGTGGCCACGGCGTGGTCAAGGCGTGGCTCAGAGGTTGAGCATTGACCTATGAACCAGGAGGTTCCGGTTCTGTTCCCAGTCAGGGCACACATGTAGATCGATGATTCTCTCTCATAATTGATGTTCCATCTCTCTCTCTCTCTCTCTCTCTCAAATCAATACATTTACTCAGCTGAATTTTTAAAAATATATTTTTATTGACTTTTGAAAGGGAGAGAGAAACATTCATGATGAGAGAGAATCAGGGATCGGCTGCCTCTTGGCCCCTCTCCCTCCCCCGCTGGGGTTCAAGCCCACAACCCAGGCAGGTGCCCTTGACCGGAATCAAACCCTGGACCCTTCAGTCTGCAGGCCGATGCTGTATGCACTGAGCCAAACCGGCCAGGGCAGTTGAAGTTTTTTTGTTGTTGTTTGTTTTTTTAATAGAATACAGTCTCCGCCTTTGTCAAGCCCTTGTCTGGCTTCATCTGTGTTTTTCCCTTCCTTCTCTCTGACTCTGCCAGCATCGCCTTGGCTCCCGTTTCTCATGTCCTACTCTTTCTTTCTTTCTTTCTTTCTTTCTTTCTTTCTTTCTTTCTTTCTTTCTTTCTTTCTTTCTTTCTTTCTTTCTTTCTTTCCTTCCTTCCTTCCTTCCTTCCTTCCTTCCTTCCTTCCTTCCTTCCTTCCTTCCTTTTTCTTTCTTTCTTTCTTTCTTTCTTTTTTTCTTTTTTTCTTTCTTTCTTCTCTCTCTCTCTCTCTCTCTCTCTCTCTCTCTCTCTCTCTCTCTCTCGTCTCCATTCCCAGTGCCTAGTAGATAAAAAAAAAAAGAATATTGGAAGAACAGACCTTCACAGTCAAAGGTCTTAATCTCAGGCCCCCTGGGCGGCTCCCCCGGAATTTGTTTACAGCAGACAGTAGGGATCGTTGTGGGGGGTTTTGGGGTGAAGAGAAAGGCAGAACATTCTAGAACACCATCTGTCAGCCTCCTTAGCTGTTCCCCCTCCTCACCCAGGAAGGGGACCTGGGACCTGCCTCCCGACCTGGACCCCTGACCTTGACTGAGACCAGAGGGGAGAGACCCGGGCCCGGGCGTGGGCTTGGCTGTGAGGTTCAGAGAGGATTGGGATGGTGGGGGGGAGCGGGGGCGGAGGAAACTGGGAAATACCCGGGCACCCTATCAGTGGGGAATCTCGGGGCACACCCGCTGGGG